ATTTAATTTTACAGGAAATTTGTTCAAAAGAAGTTCTTATCTCTATGTTGAGTGATACCTGTAATGACAATGAAATACTATACCCTTATTTAAATTTTTTGAGTGTATATGGACACTAACTTCCAGAATGCTTGTTATGTGTGAGGGCACCAAGTTACATAAGAATAAAAATATAAAACCAAATGTTAGTCTTCTGTATTTTAATTTTCCATATCTGTGTCTTACAATCAGGAATGCTTTTGTTTTGTAGAGTTGTACCACAGAGTAACTAACTTTAAAAATTAGTTGGCTTATCAGGGTGTTAAAAATGAGTCTTTTAATTGGTATAAAATCTCTTTCTTCCCCACTTGAACAGTGAAGGAGAGCAGGGTCCAAATGGAAGTCAGAACTCTAGCTACAGCCAATCTTAAAACATTCCGAAGAATTCCATAGTGGACCAGTTGGAAATAAACCATTGGACAGATTTCAGTTATGTCTTCAATGGAACACAAATGAAAATGAATAGCTTGTTTCTGTCAAGCATATTGGGAAGTGATTTTATTTTTGCAAAATAAGTTTTTCTTTACCTAATTTGATTCTAGTACATAATTGATTAAAATTGATTATAATTGATTATAAAAGCTTGGAAAGGTTCTAAGGGGACCTACAGACAGACTTACATAGACATTTCAAAATTAATAGCTTTTGATTAGTATACTTTTTCTTAATTTGGATAATAGAAATTGTAGCTTTTTATTAAGCCAAGAAACATGAAGCATAATTTGTTTAAAATTCTCTTTGGTCATTGAAGGACCAAAAAAGGACATAAAAAGTCAAATATATGAGGGTTTTTTTCCCTCCTTAAGTTAAACTTTAAAACTGTATTTAAGGAATCAAATCTTACAAAATCCTGGAAGATTTTGGTAATGATGTTGATAATTTCAGGGAAATTAATCAAGTACCTATTGATTTAAAAGTGTATTTTATTCAATAGTTTTAGTATCTTGCCATGGAAGATACTAGCCCAGCCTAGCAGAAAAGTGCAATATGTATAGCATACTTTGACATTTTAAAAGTTATATTAATTCCATAACCATTTTGAAGTGCTGGGCAAACTTTAAAAAAAAAAATCCTACATGATGTACTTTGCATTTGATTCACAGTTAATCAGGCATTTTGAAAGCTAATTGGATAAAATACCATAATATGGTTGAAATTTGGTAACATTTTAATGTTAATTTTTACTCTACTGTGAAAAGTTTTTTATATGACATCACACCCTAGTTTATTTTTGTGTCTTAGTGTGGATTTACAAATTTACTACAGGTATCCTGAGCCAGGAACACAATCAGGTTTCAGGCCAGTTTGATACTGGCTATTCTTAATTCTCATGAGTGTAGGACTTTGAACTAAATGTTATGTCAGTGGGACTGTGCTGTCTGTGGAACTTAAAATAATCATTTTCTTCAGATTTGAAGGAGAGTGATAAAATTTGGAGTCATAGGATATTGATGTACAACTTAAGGATTAAATTTTTTATAAATCAATTGTGAACAATGGATTATTAAATTAAATGTTGACTTCCTAGTATAAAACTTCAAGAATAAAAGTAAAGTTCTCCAGCTATATTGACTAGTGTCTTGAATTTATCTTTTTGAATCTGCCTTTTGTTTTGAGTCCTTCTTCCTTTGGATCAGTATTAATGTCTTCTACAGTTTGTCAAGTTGGGTAATTTCAAATGGCTTATAAACAGACTTTTCCTTCCTTGTGGAGAGGATTAGATAAATTGAGAGATTATGTGTAAAGTCAAAACCAATGATAAAAATAGGTTTTGTAGGCTTATGGGCAGGATAAGAAATGAGGAAAAAAGCTCTTCTCGGGTCTGAAAGGATTAAGGTTGGGTTTGGGTTGGAAGAGCAGACTGATTATATATCACAATCATTGACTTGACCCTAATTTTTCACTTGAGCCCTCTTTTATTCTTTTAAAATTTTTATTTTGAAAAGCAATACAACATATACAAGAGTAAATAAAATAGTGTAATGAACTCCATGTGTCGTTACCGTTTCAACAATGATTAATTCGTGGCCAATTTCATTTCATTAAACTCACATTTGCTTCCCATAAAATGGATATTATTTTGAAACAAATCCAAGATACCATCTTTCATCTCTATTTCAGTATATATTCCTAAAGACAATGGCTCTTTAAAAACCAGAAGTATTATACCTAAAGAATTAGTCAAAATAACGTTGTACTATCAAATATTCATTGCTGAAATTCTCAGTTATAATTATCAGGAGAAATTGTTAAATAATTCTAGTCAGATCTAAATAAGGACCAAACATTGCAATTAACTGATAAATCCTTTAAATCTTTTTAAATTCATGGTTCCTCTTCCATCTTATTTTTTAAATTTTCCTTTGTGGTTTGATTATCTACTAAGAGTATCCCACCAATATGGATCTTGCTAATTGTATCCTTGAGGTGCCATTTAACATGTTCCTTTTTCAGTATTTTCTGTAAGTCTTGATCAAGTTCAGATTAAAAAAAAAATTTTTTTTTGAAAAGGTAGACTACTGTATAAGGTATCTTCCATTAGAGGGCATATCATAGTTGATTGTCTCTTTCTGTAATTTGTCAGTCATTGATGACATGTATTGTTTTTAAAAATCAAATCATGTAGGCTGCACTACCCAGTGTGAGAGCCACTAGCTAGCTACATGGGGCTATTGAACACTAAAAATGTGGCTAGTCAAAACTGAGATGTCCTATAAATGTAAAAATACATGTTAGATTTCAGTACTTAGGACAAAAACAAAAGAAAGTAAAATATCTAATTTATTTATAATGCTACACATTTTAAATGATGATAGGACCAAATAAGACACTATTAAAATTAATTTCACCTCTTTTTAAACTGTAAGACAACTAAATCACCTAAACAGCTTGCATTATAGTTGTTGGACTGTGCTGCTGTAAGGCAAGGAAAATGTTAGACCCCTGACCCATTCTCCCTACTGCTCATTCCTGCTCCCCAGAGCAACTTTTGGTTATTTCTTTGCTGTTGTGTTACTTCCACATTTCCAAGTAACAAGCATATAATTATAGCATTTATTGAGCACTTAGATGACAAGAATTTTCTCAGCTTCCTATATTATGAAGTACTTTAATCCTCAGAACAATTATTGTAGAGAGGAGGAAACTCAGGAACAGAAAGTTAACTTACCAATCACAGGTCAAGTAAGTGACAAGAGCTTGGATTAGGTTCTAATTCTTCAAACCTGGGCAGCTGGCCTCCAGGGCCATGCTCTTAATTACTTCACCTTACTGCCTCCTCTGTTTACCCTCCAGTGTTTTATTTTGATTCTTTTTTCAGTAGTAAAATTATCTAGTAACTTCCTACTCTGGAAGATGAAGATTTCACTTTTTTCTCACACACCTCCATCTATTCTCCTGCTTCCCCACCAAAACGGTTATATAATAATAAGCCTTCTGTTCCATTGTCTTCTCAATTTAAGTGTATACTTTTTGTTAAATTAATAATATATATTAAGTATATATAGATAACATTGTGTTCTGTAGTATACTGTGGTATATTTCCTTTCTTGGAGAATATTTTTGTCTTTCTGAAAGGAGTGTAATTGCCTTGGTTGTAATTTGCTCAGTTTACTTTGTATCTTTTATTTATCACCAGAATCACTTATTATTCATTTACTCCCTAGGTTTCTCACAAGGAAACATTCTTCCCCAAGCCCTTCATCTTTGTTTAGGTAGCCAAGATAGCAGGAATCCTATCTTTTTCTTTGCCTTTGTTTTAATGGACTACACCTCTACTTGCTTCAGAAAAGGTGCCTTTTAAGTAGCACCTTGTTCTTGTTTGAGAATGCAGTGTGTTATCATTCTACAGATATTAATTCGGGCTTTTCAGTAATTTTAAAATTTTTGTTTCCTTCATTAACACTTTTTCCTTGACGTTCCTTTTCTATGTTTGGTCATAATTTTTCAAGTTAGAATCTTGCTTTAATTGTCTCAGGATCCTTGATATTTGAAAGGCCCAAGATGATAAATGAGAGGTCTATGTGCATGGGTAGGACTTTACAGTGGTGGGCCTCATAGGTTCAGGGAACAACAAATGTTTTCGTTATTATCCCTCCCACCCCCAACAAAATATTCTAAAGCTTTTTCTTTGCCAGGGAGTCAGCTTTCCTAGAAAGGAAGCTTTTGGCTTTATGTGTGGTGGTAGTGAGCTGGACCATTCAGAGTTCTTGGAGACAAGGGAGGTCAGGGACCTAGGTATCTCATCGTACAGCAATCAGTTTCATTTTATCTTCCCACCTGCGGTAAGGGATCTCACTGCCATTCTTGCCCACACATGTTTAGCTGGAAGTTTCACCTCTCTACCCATTAATGTCAAATGAATGCAACCTAAAATATTAGCTGCCTATGTAAACAAGTACCATATTGTACGGATCCATATAGTAACAGTATACTAGGCATACATTATCTTATGTAAGCTTCAAAACAATACTATTATCCCCCATGTGAATATACTTGAGCCAGATTCTACTATTATGATACTTTTATTAAAATTTCCTTTTTCCTTTCTGTCCTTGCTCCTGGCGACACTTGCAGCACTGAAAAAAGGTGACAAAATTAGACTTTTCTGTTATTTAATTGCTGCCCTTTTAGACACTGAGAAATAACTTTTACTGACTGATGGTAGAAGCATTCAGTTTTCCATTTGTCAATAGTACCAATTTCTCACAGGTTAGCTCCTGATCCTACCTCTATCCAGTATTTCCATGGCATATACATAGTAGATAGCAAAGGGATGCATTATCAGAATGCAAGAGACCTCAGTGGGATCATAAGGCAAGTAAGAGAATGTAAATGAAGGAAAACTGACACACTTTATTCTTATTTATTTATTTATTTATTCATGAGAGACACAGAGAGAGAAAGAGAGGTGCAGAGACACAGGCAGGGGGAGAAGCAGGCTCCATGCAGGGAGCCCGACGTGGGACTAGATCCTCGATCTCCAGGATCATGCCCTGGGTCAAAGGCAGTGCTAAACCGCTGAGCCACCCAGGCTGCCCCAACTGACACACTTTAACTCAGAACTCTGAGCCTGTCCACTGTTGCCACTTTTTCTAGGACAGCTTCCTTTTATCCCATTATGAGAACTATGAGCAGTACATACAGCATTTTATTTTTATTTTTTTTAAGATTTTATTTATCTATTCATGAGAAACACAGAGAGGAGTGGTCGGTGGGGGGGGTGGGGAGACACAGGCAGAGGGAGAGAAGCAGGCTCCATGCAGGGAGCCCAATGTGGGACTTGATCCCAGGACTCCAGGATCATGCCCTGGGCCAACGGTAGGTGCTAAACCACTGAGCCACCCAGGTGTCCCCATACAGCATTTTAAAAGGTAATCTGGCCATTCTACATTTCTGAAACATGATGTAACCACTTGTTAAATGATGTATTAAATCATGTTATATATTTTGAGGCATCCAATACCATAGAAGTTAGTAATGATTTTACTCTTAAGACTTTTAGTATAAAGGTCAGTGCAGCTTCAGATACATTTGTTAAATTTTTATTTCAGAATAACTGACAATGAGGCTTGTCTTTATAAATTTGAATATAGAATATAAACAAGTACAATTATATTTGGGTAAATAGGAAACATTATCATAAGTTTTCTTTTAAAAAGCACCAGGAATCCAAAGTATTATAATTATAAAAATCTGGTTTAGTTACCTGCCTCCAAGTTAGAGATACTAAGTTCCTATCCCATATATTCAAAATGTAAAATATTTGTTTAACCAACAAACATGCTAAAAAGTCTCCTGTGCCCTCTCTCCAAAGGAAATTATTCTGAATTTGCTATTTATTATTCTCAGAATTTATACTTATGTACGTATACTTATAAATAACAGTACTTTGCATGGTTTCAAATATATTGTACATGTTTCTGTAATTTACTTCTCTAAATATTCACTGAGTCATCACGTTAATATGTACCTCATTTTTTTTCATTTTTATTAATCCTTACGTGTGTCTGTTAAGCCCATCCACCATCTACTGGGTTTTTAATTTCAGTTACTGTATTCTTAAAATTTAGAATTTCTATTTATACTTTTTGTAGTTTCCATTACTTTAATAATTTTTCTCATCTAAGTTATTGAATATATAAGATCAGTTATTTTTTTTAAAGATTTTTATTTATTTATTCATAGAGACAGAGAGAGAGCGAGGCAGAGACACAGGCAGAGGGAGAAGCAGGCTCCACGCAGGGAGCCTGACATAGGACTTGATCCCGGACCTCCAGGATCACACCCCAGGCTGCAGGCGGTGCTAAACCGCTGCGCCACAGGGGCTACCCTAAAATCAGTTATTTTCTGACATGTATCTGTAGATTTGTTTCTATTGTGTCTTTTTTCCTTCTTTTTCTACCTTGTTTTGTTGTTTTTCTTCTTTTTCAATCATGAGGTCTAATTTACTATTTCTGATAAGTTTTATAGAATTCTGAACATTGAATATGAAGAACTGTAGGGAATGTTTGTGGTTCATGGCTATGCCCCATGGGTCAAATCCTACCTGCCGTCTAGCTTTGCCTGGCCTTTGAGCTAAGAATGTTTGCCATATTTTTAAATGGCTGAAAAATAAAAGCAGATTATTTGGAACACATGAAATATAAAATTCAAACCAAAGTGGCCATAGTTTAGTGGAGATACAGCCACACTCACTCATTTGTGTATTGTCTCTCGTTGCTTTGTGCTACAGTAGCAGAGTTGACTAGTTGCAATAGAGACCTTAAGGCCCATAAACCTAAAATACTTATTGTTGCCAACCCTTTGCTCCAGCTAATGACATCTTTCTTAAAGAAGATTTACTGCTGGTAGGTCCTTAGGGTATCAGGAAGATCACCTCAATTCATTCAGGGATTTAGTGGATTCAAAGCTGGTCTTACATTTTCTGAGGGTTGGTCAATTTCTGGGTCGCCTTTACTCCTCGGGTATAGTTTCCCAGGGCTTCCAACTAAAATGGTTGGTGTATTTACCCAGGTTCTTATTTCTTGATGGGCCCAGTACTTCAACCACAACTTCCCTTCTCGCTCAGATTGTGGCTCTTCAAATCTCACCTTAGTATATTTGTCCTAGTAACATTTGTTTATATAGGTATATCAATAAGATCAGTTTAAAGCCATGAAGGAATTACTAAGGCAGCAAGGATTTGAAGAGCTATATGATGCAGAGAGGAGGAAAGCTGTAGACGATGAACCAACATCGAGGAGACTGCATTCATGCATGTGTGCGGGTGTTTTTTTTTTTTTTTCCAGCTTTTCTAGTTCTTGTAGGGAATTTGCTCTGCTAGAAACTAGACTGACCTTATCAGAAATAGAAGTTCAAGGTGGCCACATCACATCTCTACCCCAGATTCCCCATGGCTTTATAATATCATTGAGGACAAACCAAGTTCTTATAGTTACTTCCTAGGCCTACGTGGTCTGAATGACTACATAAAAGAGACCAAACACATTTGGGTCTGGAAAGGCACAGATGGAAGGAAGCACCAGTGCACTAGGGCATTGATAAATATAGGACTTGACATTCCAAAGGCATATACTCATGCTAGTGAAAGTCTTTTACATTTAAATTTTTTCCCTCCTATTTTCATTATTTTTAATTGAGATATAATTACAGAAAATGTATGTTTTCAAGTGTCCAGTGAATTTTGATGAATGTATTACTATGTACCAACACCTCAATCCATCACCCTAGAAATTTCCCTCCTTGCTTTTTCTAGTTAATCTTCCCTCTACAGAAGCAATCACTGTTGTTATTTCTATCTTTATAGATCATATTAATTTTTTAAGTTGCAGATCGTATCACTATCATGCTGGTTACAACACTGCCATAAGTCTTTGGGTGGTGTTAATGTATTTTCATTGTTCATATTTCACCTACTATTCTGGATCTCAGATTCTTGGTGTTTTAAGACTAAGTCTGCTTTTTTAAATTTAACTTTTATAAGTTGATAAAGTTTTATAAGTTTCTGCTAGAAATCAAACATATTCAGAGAAGAATCACATCTTTTTTATTATCTTTTTAGCATTTGGAATATTTAGCATAGGATATAAACTAAGAAAAGATGTTCAAGAAATGCTTACTAGCTGTTTTATATTATTCAACATTCAGTAAATACTCATTATGGGTGAAAAGTAGATCCACAAAAATATTTGTACTGTATATCATAATAGGAAAATAACTTATGAATTTTCTAAAATGGGGAAATTTACAAAGGAAAAAAGTATTTTAATCATTTAAAAAAATAACTTGTCTAGCTCATAGCCTCTTCAATGAATAGACGCTATGCTAACACAAATGGTCATACAATATGATTAGGTATTTTAAGTAACCCAGGCTTCAGGAAAACTATTGTACTATACTAAACTATTTAAAAATTCGAGAATCCCAACCTTATATTTCCATGGCAAGTCATATATATTATTTCAATTATCAGTAGCTTTTGGAAATAGCTAAGGGCAAGTAGTATTCTCAATTTATAGTTTAGGGAAAGATTCAACAAATAATTGAATTACACAAAATCCCCTTCCCATTAGCCAGTGATGCCAGGGCTAGATTGTTATTCTTTTGTTCATTTCACTATCCTAGGCTGCATGTACACAAGAAAAGAGCCAACTTGTGTTCCAGAATTCAATTTCCATGTTTCTTCTCTGAAAATTCATAGGTTGCCCATTCGTTCCATCCTCCAGCATAGTGTTGAGCACTGAAAACATATAGCAAGGTTAGTCCTGTAAACATTTCCTCCTGCTTTATAACACAAGGTTGATAGAAACTTTAGTGATTTAGAGATACAATGACTACTCTAGACCTCAAGCCTATTTATAAGAGTTACTTTTGAGTAGGATGAAAATATAAGAGCCTATAATTACTAACACAGTAATTATAAGAAATTTTTCAGTAGACCAGTAAAAATGTAATACATAGGAAACATTGCTATGCACATTCTTGAATACATTTTTATACTTTATCTATGCACCTGTTAAAGCCCAGGGATATTGCTGTGTCCAATGCCTTCTTGCTTCTCACTCCGGCTAAACAAGAAAACACTAGACTGTCAGATTTGGATGGCTTTACTTCATTGTACTTCTCTTTGAAGTCTTTTGGGTTCATCTGTAGAGCTTCACCTACCTCACCCACTGAAAAAAAAAGTTAAGAATTTGAATTAAATTTTAGATACAGTAAATTACTCAATATATACTTTTGTGGGATGAATCAGTTCGAGATACATGTCACTTACGTGGTATATTGACAGACCCAGGGATTTTTCCATACTTGACAACTTCCCATGTCTCTCTGACATCAATTAACATAATTTTTTTGGAATTCAAGAGGTTTTTAAGTTCCTTATAAGTGACATCTTTAAAAATAGCAGTACAAAAATTGTGGCAGCTTCCTTTTATTGACTTCAAACCTGGAAAGAATAAAATAATTTAGGCACCTTCAAAATAACATTGCTATTAATATCTGGAAAGCAGGTCAAAGGAGTTTCCCTCTGGCTCCAGTCAGCTAACTATAGTTGATCTTTTGACTTCACTGTACTGTGTATTTTGCACACACCGTGTAAGAGCCTACCCTCCCGCCCTCCATGCATAATGGCTGGCCTTGGCCAGCTCATATTCTACTCTCCAAGTCCTTAATTTGGTGGAGCTTGTAAGTACACATTCACTATTTGGTAACTGAATCTTGAAAATAATTTGTAAGTCTTACCATGATCAAGTTATAATGTTAAGAAAATTTTAATTTCCCCTTGCAAGCAAAGATAATAAGCCATATGTTAGATGTGGGAAACTTACATTTGAGACTACACTCGTAAGTACTTACAGGCACTGTTACTATCTGTTAAATAATTGGTGAGGTGCCTGGTTGGCTCCGAAGAGCATGTGACCCTTGATCTTGGGGTTGTCAGCTCAAGCCCTATATTGGGTGTAGAGATTACTTAAATAAATAAAAACTTAAAAAAAATAATTGGTAACATAATATGGTACTGGGTAATAACCCATAAAATAAATTCATGGGTCCATACTGATATAAGGATATAATTGAGTAAATGGGGAGAAGGGATTATTTCAATTTATAAATGTAGAACGAATGATGAAGAGAAAATCACCATTAGGTTGACAATCCAATAATAATTATTTCAGCAAGAGATGTTGGTAGATGCTAGAGTTAGTGGGTGAAATTATGATGAGAAATAGGAGAGTATCCCCCTAGGAGATACCTACTAATTACAAAAGGAAACAGCTGAAAGATACTACATTAACCAATTATTCAAAGATCACTAGTAAGAAATGTTGACATCACGTACTTTCTGATATGCTCAAAGAAGATTACATCACTTCCTTAGTATTTTTGCCAAAATCTATACTCTGAATCAAATCAGAAGAAAATCTCAGATAAACTCAATCTACAAAGAACCAGTACTCTTAAAAGGTGTCAAAAGTTATGAAAGACACAGACTATGGAACTATCACAGATTAAAGCAGACTAAGGAGTCATACAGTGTAATACAACATAGGATCCTGGATTGGATCTAGGACTATAAGAGACATCAGTGGGAAAATTGGTGAAATTTAAATAAGGTCTGTGGATTAGTTCACAGTATTATGTCAATATTTCCTGATTTCAAAAACTGTACTATGTAAGATGCTTATATTAGGGGAAGTTGAGTAAGAATTAAGGGAACTCTTTTTTACCTTTGCAACTTTCTGTAGGTCCAAATTGTTTTTTTTTTAAAGATTTATTTATTTATTCATTCAGAGAGAGAGAGAGAGACAGGCAGAGACACAGGCAGAGGGAGAAGCAGGCTCCATGCAGGGAGCCGAATGTGGGACTCGATCCCTGGTCTCTAGGATCACGCCCTGGGCTGCAGGCGGCGCCAAACCACTGCGTCACCGGGGCTGCCCCAAATTGTGTTTTTAAACATGAAAGAAAACCCAAAAGATTTTTAAAAATAGGATAAAAATACAACATACTAATATTTTACAACAAAATGACCACTGTAAAAAAAGGTAACTAATAATGCTCCAAATGCTGCTTAAAATATTAAAGATCTTATAAAGTGAAATTGGTTTAAATAGTATAAACTGGCACAGGAAAAGGTTTAAATGTCTAAGTCCAGAAACACACAATATACTATCTATGAGAATTAGGTATTTGGTAACAGTCAGATCAATGGGGAAATTTTGTTCAATAAATATGTAGCTAGGCATCAGGAAGAAACTTTAAGCAGGCTATGGCCTCATTCCTTACATGTAAATAAATTAAAATTTCAACCTAAAAACTAGTATCTTAGAAGTACTAATAGAAAACATGAGCAGATAATTTAAATCTTGGGATAAGAAAGCCATTCTAAACATGGCAAAATCAAAAGTCATAAAGAATTGACCTCATAAAAGTGCTATAATAAGACAAGTGGCAGGCAGGAACAAAGTATTTGTAACATAGAAAAGACAAAACATAGAGCCCGTACAAATAGGAAAAGGACAAAATTCTCACTAGGAAAACGGTCAAAACAAGAATAGGGGACTTGACTTGAAAAATACAGATGGTTAATAAAATGTAAAAAAATGCCCTGTCTCACTACTTATGAAGGAAATACAAGATGTAAACAAAAGTTTTCAAATTTTGTCAGGTTTGTAAATAAAGATTTGATAACACCAAATATTAGTGAGGGTATGAGGAAATTAGTACTCTTGTACATTGTTGGGAATGTGTAATGTTAAAACCTTTTGAAAGGAAAATTTAGCCCTAATGACATTTTATGTACGTATATCTTTTTTACCTCACAATTTTACTTTTAGGAATCTATCTTAATACAGAAGTATTAGCGTGAATACATACAAATGTGTGTATGTATAAATATATATATGTTGGCAGCATTCTCTACAATACTGAAAAATGGAAAGAAGCTGGAAGTCTATCCATAAGGGAATGGTTATAAGTGGTACATTTATACAATGGAATATTATTTAAGGTAAGGAGTCCAAAATAGAGCATTAAATGTAAAGAACTAGTTGGAAACACCACGTATAAACCAGAGGTTCCCATTCTTCCTTGGTTCATCCTTTCACGTCTCAGTAAATTTCCTGCAGTGCACATAGGCCAAAAGAGATGTTTTATGGTTCTATTTATTAAGTAGTTAAGAAAAGCCAAAAGTGAGTTCTGAAGCACCATATTTTCTTATAAAAACCAAACACTGTTCTACTTTCATTTGCCTTTCTCACTGATAGCAAAAGATGGGGAAATGGACAAATACAATAGTTTAAAAATACAGGTTTCCCAGCAATTCCACTCCAAGGTATGTACCCAAAAGATTTGAAAACAGGGATTCAAACAAAGACATCAATAATGTTCATAACAGCATTATTCACAATTACTCCCAAAGGCCAAAAGGTGGAAACAACCCAAGCTCATTCAACAGATGAACGGGTAAATAAAATGTAGGATACACACACAATGGAATATCATTCTGCCAGAAAAAGGAATGAAATTCTAACACATAACTACAGCACGAAACTACAACATTGAAAACATGCTAAGTGAAGTAAGCCAAGCACAAAATGACAAATACTAGTGGTATTTTATGATTCCACTTATTTGAAATATCTAGAACAGGTAAATTCATAGAAAGTAGGTTTGAGGTAACCAGGAGTTGGAGGGAAAGGTGCTATTCCCCAGTGGGCTTGAGTTTCTGTTTGGAGTGATGAAAATTTTTGGAAATACAGTGGTGATGACTGCGCGATGTTGTGAATATAATTAATGCCACTGAATTGTACATTCAACAATGGTTAAAATGACATATTTTATGTCTATCACAGTAAACAAAATAAAAAAAATACAAATACAAATTTCCCCATCCTCTTCATATTTTGAAAAGTCAGCTCATGTTATCTACAAGATTAGATCTTTAAAATGCCTGGGATAAAACTATTTCTCACTCAACATGCTGTTTTGTGAATTCCCAGATATAAAAAGTCAGCAGGCTGAGTTCACACTTGTTACTGAGTTCCTCATTGTTAGGAACTAACTGGAGAAGTATGGTAATTTAAAAAACTGTTAAACTCAAGACTGTGGTACTTCACACTGGGAAGCAAACATCATGTCAGCATGTAACCTCTGCCACTGAATTAGAGATGGTTACGTATTTTTCTTTTCTTTCTTTTTTTTTTTTAAAGATTTTATCTATTTATTCATGAGAGACACAGAGAAAGAGGCAGAGACACAGGCAGAGGGAGGAGCAGGCTCCCTGCCGGAAGCCTGATGCAGGACTTGATCCCAGAACCCCGGGATCATGACTGGAGCCAAAGGCAGATGCTCAACCACTGAGCCACCCAGGTACCCCTAGTTATGTTTTGCTTATATTGTAGAATCAAATTGACCTTGAACTTTCTCTAATTCAGCTATACTGTTGGTGGGGGTGCATTGGAAAACAGGTTTATAATCAGTGAGGAATAGTTTTCCTAGCTTTCCACTCTGAGCCAAAGTACAAATATTCCCCTAATAAGTCTCAGCTCCCCCCAAGCCTCTCACGGTATGAGCCTCCAGTCCACACTAATTCTTTAGGTAAAGCTATAGTGTATTTTTTTGTACAAGGGGGCTTCTACTTGTAAATCAACCACTTCATCCTTTGCTTGATCAAAGAAACAGCAATCAGTTCCTACACTGAAGGAAAACTGTCTGTTTGGAATTTATTGGGATGATGTAGGGTTCTCTGGAGGGATTCCCGAGAGTAACACAAGCTGTACCTGATTTTTCACATTTTTGAGCCTAATTTTTAAATAAACTCCAGTTTGGCTGTTGGCACAGTGGGAAATCTAGCCTCACCTGGCTATTACCTACAGCCTACATTATAGGACACAGTCCATACTCCTTAGTACGTTCTATTATGTCCTTCAACCTACTTTACCAGCATAATTTACCACACCTTCTCCTCTTCCTCATTCCTCCTCTGCCTCTATAACCCTTCCCTCCAGCTACATTAAAAGTATACATGTGCTCTCACTACATTTTTACAATGGAAAGAGCAGGGATTCTAGAGTCAGATAAACCAGGTTCAAATCCTGGCTTGTCCACTTAGCTCTGTAATCCTGGGCAGATTACATAAACTCTCTGGGACTTAGTTTCTTATTTGTAAAACAGGAATACTATTATTTAACCTTTCTGAGTTGCTGTGAAGTTTAGATAATCTATACAGTGCAATCTTTAAGTATATTTTTTTGCCTTCCTTCATGATTTATGCACACTTCTTTTTTTTAAGATTTTTAAAAAAAATTTTTTATTTATTCATGAGAGACACGGAGAGAGAGAGAGAGAGAGAGGGAGGGAGCAAGCAGAGACATAGGCAGAGGGAGAAGCAGGCTCCATGCAGGGAGCCCGACATGGGACTCGACCCTGGGTCTCCAGGATCACACC